CTTCGCAAGCATCTCTTGGTCGCGTTCCTGTGGCGAAAGCGGTTTGGAGCGTTTTGCAGCGGGTTCCGAGGTGTGAGCGGCTGAGGCGTCAAGTGCTCGTTTGGGAGGCATGAGGGGCTAGTATTGACCATGTCAGTATACCCAGATGCTTTTATACTGTTGCGCACCTGATGCTTTGACGCATTTTCGGCCACTGAGCATTGTCCAGGTGCTTGGTTGTGGCAAGCAGCAAGCCCAGTCACGACAGGTGACAGGCAGTGCCACCGGTCTGATCGTCTGCCTGTGACATAATCATGCTTACACGGGTACCTGTCGTGGGCCAAATCAGCACCTGCATTCTCAATATCCGTGGGAAATAAGTATTCACATTCGCAGGTAGAAAACCTGTGAATGTTTATCCACAGGTACCTGTGGCGGCATTTGCAGGTAATGACACTCGTGCAAAGCTTTATACCCTTACCACCAATATGCCCTGACACTTCACTTTGCATAGGATTGTCAGATGGACCAGCATTTGCAAATACCCGAATTTTAGTGATATCACCAGATGTGTCACTCACACAAATTGGATTAGTATGTGTGGACCTGGAATATGTGAATTTTACATAGATGCCAAAGTCAGGACTGACTCAAGAGTGGATTTAAATGTGCGGTACTGCTCTGAGATAGACGCATGTGGAGAGGTTGAGATGAAATGCACATGGAACTCCTGCATGAGAAGTTTTCGCGGAAGGTTTCGGTGTGTCATATAGGCATTCCAATGCTTATTCCAGGATTTGCTCCGATTTCCAGAGACATCGTCACCAAAGAAATCAACAAAAGTGGAGTAAATCGGGGAGCCTCCTGCGATATCACGAATCGGGTTAGGCATTCGTATTGGATAACCAGCATTTATTGTCAAATCTAGCATACTTAGCACCACTAAACCATATATACAAGAGGTTACACACCAGCCCAGCTTGGTATTTCACCACGTTCCTTGAGATCAAAGTAATTTGTGGTGAGATCAGTTGCACAAATAAGAATTGTTTCTGAATCATTAACAGTGGCTTTGCCTGCCTTGAAGATCCAGTTTAGTGATATTCCTACAGGGCTATCAGGAGCACAAACCTCATCAATGCACACCAGAAAGCTATCTGCATGTACCTGCCCACTTGCAATGACCCAGCGAATTGGGACAACCAGACGGCCGTCTTTGAGCCGGACCAGCTCGTTGACATAGAAATGTGCATGGCCGGCATCATACATCGGACTCAGAGTGTCCAGATCCATACCATGCCTCCACTTCTCTGCATGCCAAATTTCGCGCACAATACCATCTTCTGGAATCTCAGGGTATAGATGGATGAACTTGCGAACATTTGGGTTGGCCCAATCCTGCAAATTTCGAGATCAGAGCGTACTATTCCTTGAGGTTTGACACTTGTACCTGCCGAATGAGAGCTCGGGGGTCATTCATGAAGAAGACATTTCCGAGTGGAGAGAGGCATGGAATACTCGGCACCCCAGCTTCCCTTTGCATCTTTATCTGCATTGCTCGAAGGCCTTCGAGCGAAGGGACATCAGGAGCTCCACTTTCACGAAGAATCCACAGAAATACACGCATCAACGAGTTTGAGACGCGTAGACGCGGGAGTTTGTCTAATGTGTCGAGCAGAAACATCTGTTGTACCAGAAGTGAGCAACACAAAATACAATCGAATAACTGACTGTCTTGTTTGGATATGGGAAAAATTTTGCCGTCGGAGCGGGTATTTTGGCGCCTGCTGCCTGAATCTCCTCCGATGTTGTGTCTGTGATGCCTAGGACCGGCATTAGTCTTGTTGCAAGCTTTGACCGGACGCGGCGCGGGAGCGGAGACAGTCGCCACACATCTTACGTGAGTGCCACGATGTCCCTTGGCTTTTGCACTTACCCGCATTCTGCAGTAACTCCGCGAGGAAGTCGTCCTCTGCATCCCTCTCCAGTATATCCTCCGCCAAGGACCCTCCTCCATACCCGAGTCTCTGCGCCACACCCTCTGGGTCCAAAATGCCCAATAACTCCGCTTCACGGTCCAATCGCGACACATCGATGGCGCTTCTGTCCACAACCGCGTCCCCAGCACTGAAATCCCCTCCATCCATGTCGTAATCGCGCCACATCTCGATTTCGGGCGTTGCTGGGAAGGCCTCGGGGTCGCCAAGCAGGCAAGGCAAAGGGCGGGCCTGTTGGCGTGGAAGCGCCACCTGCGTTTGTCGAGCGATTCGCCTCCGCCTGGGCGCTTGATCGCAATACTGCCCCGTCTTCACGCGTCTTCTTCGCCCGGCCGTGGTCAGCAGAAGCGAGGTGTTTCAGCACATTACGGCGGAGAATCCACTCTTGCCGTTCGGGGGGGAGACTGCCATAGCAGATGCGGCAGAGGACAGAGCTGTCCGTGGGGCGAGTAAGCCACTCTGGTGTGTGTCAGTCGATGGTCTCGCAGTGGATACTGACGCACCTTTCTCTTCCAGGATCTTTCCGCTTCCTTTTGGCGGCATGAGGGTGACTGCCAAGAACGGGGACCGTTTAGCCGCGAGTGGATCGACAATCACCGTCGGGCGCCCAAAATGTCGGCAGAGGGCTCTTTTCCCTCCTCCCTCCATGTCCGACCCCTCCTCCCCCGTTCGTTCCTCCACCCCCGTTCGCTCCTCAGGTCGGCATGGCAGCATCTTCACCGCCATGACACAAACTACACCACTGCGAGCGCCCGTCTTCCATGTCCGCAACACCTCAAACTCTTCCTCCCCCACGCGCAGCCACGACGACAGTGAGACGGACCTGCCGCCGCTCGTCAGCCGCAATGCAACGGAAACGATACAGCGCTTTGCGACAGCGCAGCAACTGCGTCCCGACCAGGTTGCCGACTCCATTGCCGTCCTTCGGGTGAGTTTTGTCAGCATGGTCTTCGTTCTTGCGGAGCCTCAAACCGTCTGTAGGATCCGGTTTCGGTCGTCATGGCCAAAATCTTCGTGCTCCTATTCGCCATCCTCAACAGCATCACTGCTATTGTGCTTGCCCAGCCATCCTTTGAGCTTTCCGACGCGCTCATGGTAATCTGTTTGCTCATTTCCGCTGTCCCACTAACTATTGACAGAAAAACATGAAGAAGTACGCGATTGCGACCATGCTTTCGCCCCGCCAGGCATCCTACAAGGGCAAGACCCCCGTCAATGTTCTCTTGGTGCGTGTTCCATCCCAGGTTACTTTTCTTTCTGATCTGCGTTGTTAGAATATCCTCAAAGCTCATCGCTTCGACCTTCCGCCCGGTATCGAGCACAATGCAGCCGACTACCTCACGCTCAAGCGTGCGGTCCGGAATATCTTCACGCAGCTGCGCTCGGATATCAAGAAGGCGGTGAGCTCCCATCGCCCCAATTATTTTCGTTGACTCACGGGCTTGTAGATCGCGAAGTCGCTTGGCTACACGTACAGACATCCACGCGTCAAGGCCCCGAAGAGTTGCGACAATATATACAACCTGACGCAGTCCATCGTCGGGTCTTCTGACTGTGTGGTCACAGTCGAGCTTTGTGCTCGTGTCGCGCTCATGGTGAGGTTTTTTATTTAAGTAGCAATCATTGGCCTGACGCTTCTGACAGCGCTACATCTGGGTAGAGACCTACAAGGACGACACATCGAAGTTCTGGGATGAAGTCGATGCGCTGCTTGGGGAGATTCGCGAACAGGCCAAGGGGAATCAGCAGCAGGTTGCCCGGTATGTTACCACACGTTGCATGGCTTTTTGTTGCTCATTCATAGTCAGGGCATTCCGCGAAGTCCTGAAAAAGGATCGCGAGATGTATGGCACGAATGACTATATCATCAAGGATAATGCGGCGGACCGTGTACAGCAGGAGGTTGACCAAGCCATCGACGAGGCTGTGATGAACTCAGCAGGGGCAACGGGTGACGACGCAGAGGATGACCCAATGGACGGTGAAGGCTCGGGTGATGGGATGGCGTAGTCAAGTAGCATAGTATCCACATTAATACACATTTGTTTCAAAGTCAAGAGTCTCAAATATTGAGCGGCAGGCAAAAGTGCTGGTGCGCGCACTTATACTTATAGGCAGTTCAGCAATTAGACTATATATATTATAGCAACTAAGCTATGAGGCAACTACCTGGGTCTCTGGCTGGTTTCCAGACACTCTGGATCCAGCATGGACCCATTTGCGTCCAAACATGGATGACAGGTGGAGTTGATCCTGGATCCGGCTGGCTATCACAGGTGTCTACCGCGGATTTCCCACCTCTGTCACAGGTGGAAAATCATTGGCGGTGTAAGTAAGCACAGATGTAGCAACATATTGCTGCTTGGTAGACCAATATATCTGAGAAGGATTATATATACTTATTGTGGACACTATTGATCAGGAAATAGATGGTTAGCAGCCAGAGTTTGGCAACTTTGGCCAGAGTACTGTACTCATAAACATTCTTTGTAAATACATAAGCCTCCATAGTACACTCTAAAAACATATTTTGTGGTCTTAATTTTGGGTTAAGCCCAGTCTGTGCCTAATGCGCGGCAAATTAATGTCCGGCTTCGCTGCTTTGATGGGCTTGCCGGCGGCGGCCATCAGGCATGTGCGCGCAAATTCTTTTTGACATTTTCACGAAATTATGCAAACGGCTGTAGGGCGATCACTGGATTTTGCGACATGCGCCCGCGGAAATTGTAACTTCAAAGACAGTGACATAATCCACCGCGGGCTGATAATATGCTGACAGGTCCGCCTGAGATACGCGGACATGCTGAGATATTTGTCCTCTTTTGGTCCGGATTCGGATTGGATACGGCACAATGTTGGCAAAATGTCAGGTGCGGTGACGTGTTTCCGTGATGGTAACGTGAGCGCGATCAACTTGTCAACACACCACCACCACCTTCGGTCGGCGTTGATTCGACGCGTTCCATGGGCTGAACGGCTATAAGAGCCTCACCCGCTCTGTGTGTCTCCATTGACGCCTGAGAGATGGCGCTCTCTTTGCTCGTACTCCTCGCCATTCTGTCCTCAGGCTGCGCCATCCCTGCTCCGTCTGTCACCCTGGGTCGCACGACCGTCGTCGGGCGTGCTATTCCCGAGTTCCAGCAGGAGTTCTTCGGCGGTAGGAGATAGAACATAACATTTCACTCGTCATAATGACCATACACAGGTCTGCCCTACGCCCTGCCGCCAATTGGCCCTCGTCGCTTGTCGCCGCCGGTGCTCACGACCCAGCTTAACGTAGAGACGTTCGATGCGAGCGAATATGGGTTCTCGTGTGTGCAACTGGTGCGTGCTCCTTCCTTCCTCCAAGCCTGGCATTGACGGCCGCCGGAACAGCCCCAAGAGCAAGGCGTGCCACTGGAGAACATGTCCGAAGATTGCTTGACTATCAACATCCTTCGCCCAGCCGATCTACCCCGCAATGCGCTACTTCCTGTCGTACGTCTGGCTCCATAAACCAGATCCAACGTTAATAATTCCGCAGATGTTTTGGACCTACGGCGGTGGCTTCGTCGGCGGGAACTCCAGCGTATATAACGCCAGTGTCGTCGTCGCCCAGAGTGTCGCTCGGGTGAGTGGCACATGCATGCCCTTATACTTTTGCTGATTATATAGGGCACCCCCGTCGTCTACGTGAACTTCAATTACCGCCTCGGCGCGCTTGGCTTTCCTGTCGGCGCAGACGCGGCGCGCGCTGGCTCATTAAACCTGGGGATGAAAGACCAGCTTACGGCACTCAAATGGGTACACGCAAACATAGGCGCGTTTGGCGGAGACAAGACCAAGGTCACCATTTTCGGCGAGAGCGCGGGCTCCATGATGACGAGCGTGCTCTTTTTCAATCCAGATCTGGAAATGTTTGTCCGCGCAGCGGTATGGTTGTCTTCGTTTGAAAGTCGTCGTTTACCGCGCACTGACCTGTCCGCAGATCTTGGAATCCGGATTGGCCGCAACGATGGGGCTATACCCGCCAACACGTAACCAGGGCTCGTGGGACAGCTTCATAGCCGCCATCCCGGAATGCGCCTCCCTCCCAGCACGACAGCTCTTCTCCTGCGTCAAAAACAATGCAAGCACGAGCTCTATCCTGACGGCGACCGCGACGGTCAAGGCGGCGTCTCTTGACGCCTACCAATGGATGCCCGTAGTTGATGGAGACATTATCCCCGACCTACCGTCAAAGCTGCTCGCTGCGGGGCGCTTTGCCAAGATCCCGTTTATTGCGGGAACAAACCTAGACGAGGCGACAGGTTTTGACCTGATATACCCGTCGTATGTGGTGGATTCCACTGACGCGCTGAAAGAATTGTTGTTTCAGTCTGTTTTTCGGACGAGCGCCAATCCAGCTGCGCTGCCATCTGTTGCCCTTCAGAGGGGCGTGGACGAGCTGTTGAAATTGTATCCAGACATCCCTGCGCTTGGTATGTGCCCATTTCCATGCTTTCGATTCCGGATTAAGCGCCGGTCAAGGCTCGCCGTTTGGCACGGGGAACGCAACATTCGGGAAGAGCACGACTTTCAAGCGCGCCGCCGCCCTCCGTGCGTGTCCCCCTGTCATCACCAGCAGACTCACACTCACGCTTAGTCACGGATATGTGGTTCGTCTCCCTCCGGCGGCAAGCAATGGACGCGGCGACCGCACACGGCCTCCAGCCGTATGGATACCTCTTCACGCAGCCGCAACCCGAGGTGCCAGCTGCATACGGGGGTATGTTGCTTCACCTTCATAAGAGTGGACCTAACTCCTTTGATGCTGACGCGATGGTTTAGTGGCCCACGGCCTCGAAGTTCCATCTGTTTACGGCGCTCCGTTTGACACGTCGGACTCCTCGGTCGCACTGAGCAAGATCATGGTGGACTATTGGCTGTCTTTCGCGACGAGCCTGACGCCGAACGACGGATGTGGGGTCTCTCGTACGCCCTCTTCAGCTCTTCATCCAGACCCTTCAGTTGACCGGATCGTAGGCCCCCAATGGGAACCGTACTCCGTACACCACAAGGCCAGTCTCGCGCGTACCCCACTCCCTCACTCTGAATGCGATCGTACAGGCGGTTATCCAGCTGAACGGCGCGAATCTTACGATGATCCCGGACAATTTCCGCTCCGGTGAGGCGAAGTCGCGATGTATTTGCATGTGCTGACATTTTTCGTAGAACAAACCATGTATATGGCTGCCAATTCTGCACTATGGGGGCATTGATATTCCATATCTTGCACCTGAAAATATTTTTCTATCTCTCTTCAAGTTAACAGCGCCATGCCCGGAATTGGTCTGCTATCCAGGCCGTGAGGAGAAGCGACCGGCACCTAAGAGTGGGTGCGTACCAGCGATGAGCCCGTTCGCCTTTCCCTGTAAGAACTCGCGCGCGGCATCCCAGTAGCTCCACATATCCAGCGCACCCTCTGCCCAGTCCACGGACGTGGTAATCACTAGCCTCGGATCGGAGAGGCTTTCTGAGACACAATCCGCCAAGGGTAGTTCGTCGGGCTCTTCCAACACGACGAGCAATATGAGTTTCGTGGACTTGGTGAGGATTGCATCGATGACGGGCTCTGCGTCATCCCATGAGTCTATATCTTCGTTCAGCGCGACGTGCGTTAGACAGGGCAGAGCAGCGCAGAATTCGGCGACGCCTGGCGGCCGGCGGAACAGCTCCAGGTGGGTGAGCACCGCGAAGACCGGACGGACGGCGTCGGCTGTTGTAAGACACCCGTCCGCGATGATGCGCGGATCGGTGGCGAGGGAGCGAAGATTCGTGAGCGCGAAAAACGCGTCGCGCATGTCACGGGCACGATAGGGCCCCCCGATCGCTATATGTGGCACAGCGGAGAAGAGGCGCAGCGGGGCGCCGGGAGGGTTGCCACAGACGACGATGTGACGGACAGTGACCACCAGGAAGGACTGCCTCGGGAGGCTCATTGTCGACAGCTCCGGGGATCGATATTCATGGCCGAAGAAGAGGGTGCGGTATAGCAGGGGCTCCAGCCTACGCGGTTGCGACTCCCAAAAGCATTCGCCAGGACGGTGAGACTCACCATAAGCAAACTCGACGTGCCACGAGGAGCAGGGTGTAGTGTACCTGGCGTGACACCTTGGCTGCTTCACTGAACACCGCGAACTCTAACTCTGGTGGAAGGCGCGGCGCCGTCGACGACATGAACGTTCGGAGGAAGAGCCGGTGATGTGTGATCGATATGCGTCACATGTGACTTATTCCTGATCACTTACGACTGAGGATATGACTCATTCCTTGTGTTGTGATTGTCATGCTAGCCTATGATGATAAAATACATCATCAGAATATAAGGATATGATAATATGGCCTTTAGCAACATAATCCTCAATTCTAATGCTAGAAACGCTAGAAATACTGCCACAGTAGCGAAATTAACTAATTACCAATATAAATCCCAAACAATTATTAGATATTTTCTTTATTTCATTTAAGATAATTTAATTTTAAGATGCTCCTGATGCTCCTAGACTCGGAGATTGAAGTGGGTGACCATATATATTGCCAATATAGATCATGGTGAGCTGCTGAAAAGACCAAGTCGCACATCTAAGAAATAGTTGGCAAGTTGCACTGCTAAGAAACGAAAAGTGTATTTTCAATATGGCTTTTGAGACGAGAAAATTGCAAGCTACTTTGGGGGTGGAAGAGTAGCAATGGCACCCCACAAGAAAATGGCTACGCCTTAACGGTCGCGGAGCGCCCGACGATGCACCACGCACACGCAATCGCGCGCGCTTGATTCAAATTTCCAGCGTTGAGTGCCGCTTTGAACGCGGCCTTCGCGTCCGGATCAATGCCGAGTCCACTGAGCGACGTATCGATGCCGGGGAGCGTGATCGGGTAAACACACCCAAGGTAACTTATGTCCTGGTTCGCCATATTCGTCGGCGCGGCAGGGTACGTCGCTGCGTCGGGCCACGTCGGCGTGCTGTTCGTGTTCAGCGCGGCGGGCATAAAGTAGCTGAGGGAACTTAATTCGGGATTGGATCACTGGGGAGGCAGCATACCGCATGAGCGAGTCGGGATTGTAGGCGGGAAAATTGGACAGCGGCGCAGAGGCATAAACGTCGAGGATGTGGCGGTCGATTTTTTTGACGTCCCAGCCCAGCGTGTATGCGTAGTACTCGTGCACCAGCTTTGCGTCCAGCGTGGGTATTTGGCCGACAGTAGCATTCGACTCGCCTGGATACCTAGTTTGCGATGAGTTATGGTTAATAAACTTAAGTAAGGGGGCACCCACTCGTGCAACAACCCGTAGATATGCCCCACCATGTGATTCATGACATTCCACTCCTCTGCCGTCGTATTGCTATCCTCCGTGAGCGAAGCAAAGTTGAGCGTCGGTCGCGGCTTTGGAACCTCCGCGGCAGTGCGGCCGACTAACAACACAAATCAAGTCAGATACTCGTACTGGGGGATGATCCAAACGAATTACCGTAAACCCAGTTGCCCATCGTCGAATCAAATGAAATCCGGATATCGCCATCCTGCGCGACCTGGCTGAACGACAAATTGATCCAGTAGAAGGCGTATGGGGCGCTATGTTACGAGAATCGAGTAAGTGACCAACCATACACGAATAGACAGACGCGTACGTGAGCAAATAGGCGGCCTTTGTCTGCTGGTTGGGATGTCCAGATATGAAGGAGAAAGTAACTGTCTTGGAGAAAAAATATTAGCCGCTGGACATGTCCTCCGATGATTTAGGCGCCACCTGCCCAATATCCCAGAATTGGTGGATTTTCCTTCCCAGCGTTCGGGCCGCGATTCCTGCCGACGCTGCGACCGCGTTAATCAGCCGCTCAGCACAGAAATCGTGCCGTAGCTCTTCCTCGCAGGGCATGATGACGCAGGTCGGAGACTAAGTCCGAAGTCAGCGCTAGCCAGTGGAGATAAAGGATCAAAACCCACCTGAACGGTTGCGGGCGTCACTGCCGGGGTGGTCTGGCTCGCTTTGACGTTCGCTGTGAGCGCCTGAGGCTTCGGAAGCGGGTTCTTCGCTGGTGTGGGCCCCGTCAGGCGGACAAATAATCAGAGAGAAAATATAGGGCGCACCTAGGAAGTCTGCCATATTAAGCCCCGCTCTCTGGGTTTTCGCAGGGGGGGCACTTCCGGAGACGGTGGTCGCTGGAGAGGATGTTGTGCTAGTAGCTGTCGTGCCTGTTGCGGAATTGACGCCGCCAGTGGTAGGCTGAGTGGGAGCTATATGTGAGCGTCAGCACCTATGTATCTGGAATGCACGGGGAGAGGCTCACGGTCATTAGATGGCGCAGTCGCGGGAAGAGTGACGGTGACTGTCGCGGCGGGGGTGCTGCTCGCCGTCGACATGGAGGTTAGAATGCAGCCTTGTGCGTGCTGGTGGCGGGATATATATATATATATGGATAACCTCGTCCGGGACGGGTGGGCTAGGTATTTCCGAGGGAGGACTCCGCTGTACTCGGCCCCGACAGCTTGTCAGTGCACGGAGCACCACTACACCAGGAACGCTCAACCTGGGGTCGTCCCCAGCGAAGCTGATTCCCCCAGGAACGCATGTCAGATATATTTTCAGGTGGGAGCGTCCAGTAGCGCATGAGGGAGTATTCGTGCTGACCTACGCAACTGAAGGTAAGCGGAGAAGAGAAGCCGTGAGTGTGACGTGTCACGAAAATTTTCTTCTCTTCCAACGTCGACCACCAGCAAAACGCATCACACAGTCGGCACAGCCTTATACGTCCGTCCAAGGCGTACGGGCCGACCGGTAACAAGACTATGGAATGCCGCGTTCTCGAAGCAAAGTCTGGAATGGGTACTAGAGACTGAGAAGACGGCGGAGCGGGACTGACTGACTAGTACTGGTGCGTCAGGCTGTCCCTTCACCTTACCTTTGCCTCACCCCCACGGCGCAGAATGCACATTCTCGTCACACAACTTCTGACGGAGAAGCATCGATAGACGCCCTAAAGCTACTTTTGTGCTGCCCCACGAAGCTGCTGTTGCTGCTGGGTGTTGTCTACGAACAAGCTTGGTCGCCATGAACTCTACGTAAACACCCTCGATTCATAGACGGTGGCGGATTCTATGATCGACGACGTCTTCCGGCCTGCTGGTATGTGCGTGTTGTGGAGCTCTGGTAAGGCGCAGCAAAGTTAGCGCCTTACCAACGATATAACAGCTATCCCTGAAGCCACATGCTCTATAGCATCCTCTGCCATCCACTACACAACTCTCCCGTTTCTTTCAACTCCCATCTCCCGACTTCATATCCATGGGCATCAAATTCCATCACACGCAGCTCTGTGGGGTGTGGCAAAACGAGTTGGGCTCGTTGATGCGGCTGCGAGCAGACGCGAGAGGCGGGTTGTCGGGGACCTACGAGTCTGCGGTGGGCAAGGCTGTGAAGCAATACGAGCTCGTCGGGCGGTTCGATACCGCGCCAGAGCGGGATGACACTAAAGAGGGCACGAAAGGCGTTGCCTTGGGATGGACGGTGGCATATCAGAACGCCCTGCTGAATGCACATTCGGTGGCGGCATGGGCAGGGCAGTTCTGGCCAGACGAACGAGGCGGTATTATCCGCACGCAGTGGGTGCTAGCGGCGGGGACGCACGAACAAGACGCATGGGGTGCGACGCGGGTGGGGGGAGAACATATTTCGGCGGGTCCAGCGCGAGGCGAAGCTATAACTGGTCGTAAATACCGTTCTAAATCAGTTCCGGGTCTGCGGTCATGCGTCAGTGAGTAGCCTATCGCAGTTCTCGGATACGACAGTTGATGCACCTTTTCTCCCATTTACATTCGTTTACTGAGTCCCTCTCGGAGATTTTCCGACTTCGGAACTAGAGGACATGAATCGTATTCACGGTGATACAATTACTCGAGCTCGCCAAGGAGGGATTTGCAAGAAGAATCAGCCCACGTCGTGAGTCGAGGCCGTTGCTTATTTTCTTGACATAACTTCTTCTATTTAGGCTCTGTCCTTCGTCCTCCGAGTACGCAATATCACTATCCACTTTAGTGCTTCCGACATGGCCCACACGTCATCGTCATCATGCTTCCACCTGCCACCACTGACCACGCGACCTCGGGCAGCCTAGATACGAGGCAATACCGCCGGGTAAACCACTCATCGAACCCGTCCCGGAGCCGCACTTTCCGCGAAGGTTCTCCGACGCAGGTTGACGAGGCTTGTTTCGGGAAATCCTGTCAGATGACGCCAGAAAAACCCGGCGCGGCGTTTGCCTTATTATCCAGCAGTCGCGACCAGAACTTCGACCTCCCTTCCCTCCGTTCGTCGTCATGAAGTCCTCTGTATTCGCGCTCGCCGCGTCGGCTTCTCTCGCCAGTGCGCATACGATCTTTCAGGTGCGTGGACATCATCATACTTGTATTCGCTTTCACGAATGTCGCTGACTGCAACTCCAGCAAGCCTATGTCAACGGCGTCAGCCAGGGCCATCTCACAGGCATCCGTGTCCCCGATTACGACGGCGTAGGCTCCTGCTTGTCTTGCGCATCTTCCTGTTCTGACGCCCAATCCAGCCTATCAGTGATGTAACGTCGAATGGTGCGCTACTGTCCTGTTGCAGGCGCCAGAGAAGTTTATACTGGACGATACAGATATCATCTGCAATGGAGGCATCAACCCATACCACTCCCCCCTCCCCTCAAGCGTTATCACCGTCCCCGCTGGCGCGCAATTCACAGCAGAGTGGCGTAAGTCGCAGAATTCTTTGTATTGTGAGTATAAAGCTAACCCAAAAACAGATCATACGCTCAACGGCGCGGACGCGAGCGACTCACAGGACCCGTAAGCCCTCCGCATTCATCCGTGAATGCGAAATAACGATTTTTCAGCATCGACCCCAGTCACAAGGGCCCAACGATAACCTACATGTATGTTGCCCTCCGTTCTGTCTCCCTAACCCGGCCTCACATCGCGCCAGGGCCGCGATTCCAAACGCCATGCAGAGCACTGTTACCGGGCTGAAGTGGTTCAAGATCCAGGAAGACGGCCTGATCGCGGGCAACCAGACGTGGGGCGTCGACCGCATGATCGCGAACAAAGGGAAGGTGACGGTGACGATCCCGTCCTGCATCCCTGCCGGGCAATATCTGCTCAGACACGAGATCATCGGTGAGTACCTTTAGACCCAAGACAAGCGCTTGTGCTTAATATTTGTTAGCTTTGCATGGTAAGTTGGGACAGCCGTAAGCCCTTCGCAACGTGCTCACGGTTATAGGTGCGACTGCATACCCTGGTGCCCAGTTCTACGTATGTATAATCATCAACTCCTTATATTATCGAGGGTTAAACCCCTTGTGTAGATGGAATGCGCACAAATCTCCGTCACTGGCGGCGGAAGCACACAACCCGCCACCGTGTCGTTCCCGGGTGCCTACAAGGTGCGTGTGCTCGCCAACGCTCTAGACCCATTCCCCAATGCGAGCAGGGCAGTGACCCCGGCATCACCGTCAACATCTACTACCCCACGCTCACCAACTACACCATCCCTGGCCCGCCCGTTTTCAGCTGTTCCGGATCGGGCTCCGGCTCCGGCTCCGGCACGACACAGGCGGGGACCACGACCGTCAAGACGACCACGACGTTTGCTAGCGGGACGACGACAGTCAAGACCTCGACGTCCGCGGTCTCGACCTCAACCGGCACGGTAGCGCAGTACGGCCAGTGCGGGTGAGTCCTACAATTCCTCTGGGATCTCCGCCTATGACTAAATCACATTACAGCGGTTCCGGGTAAGGAGCAACACAGCCCATGGCGGCATCGACACGACTGATGTGTTTGTTTCTGTACAGATATACTGGTGCCACTGGATGTGTCAGTCCATTCAAGTGCACCGTCGTCAACGACTACGTGCGTCGCCTTTTCCCTTTCAATAAAAAGAAAACGCAGTGCTGACTGGATTATAGTACAGCCAGTGCCTGTAGATGGCTCCTTAGCTCTAATTCTGGCCATTGTCATGTCCATTTGTATTAAACAATTGACCCTCAAATTGACATCTATTTGTTTGAAGACAAATCACAATTCAAGTTCCTAGCCGGTCCTTCGCAACTTGGCACACTACACACTGTTGGGCTGTGCCGCGGCGATACATACACTTTTCCACTCGGCATGCAATGCTGCGCGCGGCCGGTGTTAGTATTGGGACTGCTAGTGATGATATAATGAGCTTGTATGAAGTACTGCATTCGGCTCTGTCGACGTCGCTGCGTCACAATTCATGACGCCGCGAGAAATGTTCGAGGATAGGAGTTACAGGACAGGTTCTTGGTGTTCTATTGTACAAGCGAGCAGTCGGAGAAGCTGATGAGCACAACCCGTGGGCCGTGCATCAACAATCTGTCATTATCATCATTCTTTTCCTAACTCTCATGCCAATGCCAATGCCACTCCTGCCACACAGTCACTGGTCAATGTCAGATCTGCCAAAATTTGCCTTAGAGTCTGTCCTTGCAATGTCTGCAAGCGCATTGTATGCATGAAGTGCAATATGTACTATTATCTATGTCCTGGTGTCCACTTGCTCTCCAATACTACAAATAAGCAGTATGTTGAAGTCCAAGTATAATTAGCTCTGTCTGTACTTCCATCAACCGCTGGCTATCACATTTGACAAGTGACTTTTCAGTCATTTGAGTCCCGAGTATGACAGGCCCCAGATGTTGCAATAAAATTAGAATTTAATACATAAACCACAGAGGACTGATGTGCGCTCCTGATCCATCCCCCCTACACAGCAGTATCAGAAATGCCTTTCCCTGCCCTGAATCTCAATACTACACTAGGTGCATTCTAATTTGTATCCCTCAAAGCCTTTGACTAACAATTCCTTGGCTAGGTGCAGTTGTGATTGGCTCATTAGTGTCATCAGTTTTATTTGGTAATCTTACCTGGTTCACCTTTATGCTTAGCATAATGAGGCTGTCTTGAGGAGTTACAACTGTTCAAGCATACATCTACCAAAAGTCATTCAGTCAGGACCACAAGGTTCTGAGGCTCACTGCGATGTTTGTCTGGTATGAGAGCATGCTTAGCCATATGTGATGTCAATCTTGATTATCATTAGGATTTTTGAAGCAGCCCATATGGGATGTGTTATAGGCACTGTCTGGGGCCTCCTTGTCACAAACTATGGTAAAGCGGATGTTGTATTTGGCCGGCCTGTTCGCTCCATTCTGGTGGCACTGCTTTTGACTGTGGCCATTGCTGTCACTGGTATGTGTTCTTTCCCATTGTTCAATATAGACTTGGAAAAATTGATATTTTCAGTTCAAGTATTCCTTACCTATCGGATATCTGTGCTGTTCCGGACACGAGCCCGGTCCCGACTCCGCTTCATCCCATACTTTACCTACACCCTCTCTTTCCTCCGTCTCACAACAGGGGTCGCCCTGTTTATTGTGGCACTTAATGCCAAGAATACAACAGAGTTCATTGGAAAGTGGCAGCCCCTTGCATTGACAGTATGGGGTCTCAGTGCACTTGAAGACATCACAATCACAAGCACACTTGTATGGCTGTTATGGACACAAAGAGATGGTTTGCATAAGGAGTAAGCTCAAATACATCCCTCATAAACAAAAATAACCGTGATTTCCAGAACAACAATGTTTGTGGACAAAATTATAACCTGGACAATTGGTTAGTTGGCCATATGAATTATGTGTATAACTACTAACAGAAAAGCAAGAAACTGGTGTTGCAACCAGGTTTTTACTTAAAATGCCTGATGAATACCATCTCACAGCTTTTCAGTACTTTTTCAATGATTACACTCATATTTGTATGTTGTTTGTTACAAAGTAATTCTTGATGCTGAATCAGAATTTAGTTTCATGTAATGCCAACAAACTGTGGGTATAAATATCTATTCCAATCAATTTTCTTATGCATGAGACAGTCCTATGGGTAGCAGTGTTTACTATTGAAGCGCGCAGTGTGTTATCATTTCCTCTGATGAATGCTAGAATTAACAGTGTCTATCTGTTTATAGTCTTTGCCAATTCTTTCTTTGCAAGGTTATTTTGCTTTTGTAAATATTTAATTGCTAAATTTGGATTAGCCTTAATTCACGGGCAGTATTACGAGGCCTCAAGCAGAGTCTAAGTGGCATGTTGTCATTTTCACAAGATGCCTTTCCTGTATGTGCACTGCAAAACACTATAAATAACTCTGACTTTCTATTAATGTTAAGAGGGAAGATCACACCAATGCCAGCAAATTTTCTCATCTAGATTGAGTAAAATACAAAATACAATGAGGAAATCCTGGAATATATACTTATTTAATCAGTGGAGTAGCATCTTATATTGAAACAGTCGCTCAATCTCCTCAAACTTCTTATGCTTCCCGTCATTTCTTGTGTACAAGGCCAGTATGACACTGTTTGACTGGCAACATTAGGTAACTGGTAAATAATTTCCTGAGACGGAGGTGAATAAAGGAATCTGTGCAAGTGCAGTAAGGGTGTCTTGGGTAGCCATCCTATCAGCAAATTACTATATTGGGTTAGATTTGTCCCACTGCTTCACTTACGTTATGATATTTAAATGTGGAGATCTTGAAGGGGCTTATTTATAAGGCTATTCTGCATGTAGTGACTGACAACTTGCACCTGATATGACTTAACTGCTCTCCTCAATGCTTATTTATTTATATGAGAACTGAAAAAGTAACTGTGGTTTATCAGTGCTATTCTAGGGTTGTCACTGATAACTGTCAGTTTCTGGTATGCTACACTCCTCTTCGACCGCTCTGCAGCATCCACTTGTTTTGCAGCATGATATTTCAATGACCATCATCATTCAATGATGTTAGGCAATGACGGATATGCAGTCAAAGGCGATCATTGGGAGGGTCTTGACGGAACAGTGATTGTGCGGGCAAAGGAGGCTGTGGATGATGGTCGGATGGGTTGGAGCATCCGAGGGGGCACCGGTCGGATGCACCTCAGATGTGCTCAGACGGTCCGAGGGAGGCCGAAGTAGGGGTTCCCCTGACAGTTATGACTGGTATGTCCACTATGGTCAGTCAGACCTAAGGCTCTCATGGGTTTTTGCACTACAATATATATATTGGGTAGCCAGCATTCCCTTATCTTTGGGCAATATCCTACCTGGCATTCACACTTTTCATTGTCCTCAATGAGTCACTGGCACTGACAGTCTCAACTATTTTATTTCTGTTTGTGAAAATTTCAATAAAATAGAAACACAAATAGAAACAGTAATAAATGTTTAAAACTATTTATAAATGGTTCTTACCATCAAGCAACATTGGGCTATCTGTTTACAAATTTTGCTATATATTATGTCAATTTTTATGACCTATATGCATCTACCAGTGAGAGAGACATGTTCATTTAAGCTGCAATAGTCCCTTTCAATGCAAAATAGATCTCAGAAGTATGCTTCCTATTGATTATCTTGCCAAATTATGAAAGATAAAGTGCAGCTCAGTGTTAAAGAGATGTAATATAAACTTCATAGCAATGAAATGTTAGTTCTAAAATGGGTGCAAATGTTTCTAAGGTTTAGAAATAAGTACTTGAACCACACTATTGACATTAATTTGAGTGTGTTTGGAGTGAAAACCATTTAAACTAGTTATTTGTATTTAATTTATGTTTGCCCAAGCTCACAAATAAGACGGGCATTTAAATGTTTATTACCTATTTGCTGCTTGCAAATATTTACAAATGGAAAGGTTGGAGCCTCCAACCTCTGAGAAAGTCACACAGGTTGATTTGCAACCTAGGTATCCAACCTGGGGTAGGTTGGTTAGTAGCCTACTGTAGATTGAGTGCCAACCTGTTGTAGGATAAAAAATTGCAACTAATATTTAGTTGATAATCAGTGTAATCAACCAATTGTTGATATCCTGATGAGCATCATGCAGTACAGCCAAACATAGGTTGCTCTTCAGGTTGATGTCCACTCAACCTATGGCCAATTGTTATCCAAAACTAGGTTGTCCTTAGGTTGTAATGCAGCCAATATTAGTTTGAAAAACAAGTATATATTAGTTGCTATAGACAGCTGCCCAATCAATAGCTCCCATTACCCCACCCCATTCTCTGCCATCTCTGCGACACATCCAGCTAAATGGCGCAGTTGCACAGATGCAGGTCAGCTCATTGATAGCCTACCTACATGCCAAATATAGCAAAATTCGTCAATGTCGTTCTCAACGATGGGAGCATACAGCAAGATGCGGGTGGGTTCGTTTTGAAGGGTCTCCATGGGACTATATATCTATGAAATGTCTAAGAGAACAGTTAAGCTTTCAATGATGTAATCATAATATATTACTGGAGACAGCAGATATTACAGTCTACAAACGTTATAGTGCCTTTGAACTAAAATTGCCTTTTTTGGCAAGCCTCAACAATTTGTTAGTTCAATATTTATAGTAGATATTGCAGCATAGGTTGCCGACTTAGCATTCAAGTCTTGTGCCCCAGAATTATTACATTTATTGCAACTTTAAACTCTATTTATTGCAGCATTGGGCCATTTACAGAAACATTTGTAGTTAGAATGCACACCGCGCTGTAGCGTACATTCTAACTACAAGGGATATGTGGGATTAACAGGGGTGATGCTTGGCGTCGGGTAATGTCGGTTAGATATCTTGGTCTAGGCAAGCACAAATGTAATAGATTGAGACTCAGTTACAAGGCCACTTTGAGGCACATATGATACGGACTAGTCATCATCCAGCTGCAGGTCTTCTCCTCCCCACCCCTCGGATCCGTCGGTCGTGCCCGGCCCGGGAATGTCGTTTGAAAGCTCAAGCGGGAAGGCAGCGCAGAGATCGAGCTTCTCGCAGAGCTGATTGCATTCGTGTGTATCGATGAAGCTCTGAATACCCTCTATGCCAAAATCTCCGAGTCCAGAGCCACTAAGACAGAGGATCAACCAGCTCATATGGCTGCATCTATGCAAAAGATGTGGGTAGCATCCTAGGGCGGTAATGCAAAAGATGAGGGCAACTGCTTGGAAATTAAATTAAATAACACTGTTTTCTTGTTTGTGGCTGCTATATCAAGGTATCAGTGATGGGATCAATGGCAGCCAGGTATGTTAATCAATGTGGAACGATTTTTGATTGCCATCAGAGCTTTTGATGACTGCATCTTGCTACATCAACCTTACTTAATCGATTATTAATTTTTTGGTCCCTGGGCTTATAGGTCCCAAATATAATATTACGAATATTCGGCCCAAAGAAAAGGTGATTTATCTTCCTATATGTATTTTTATATTAGTCATATCTCTTGATTCCAGTGAGAAATTCATGAAATACATCTGTCATAACATCTTTTGCATTACCCCCTTGGGATGGTACCCACATCTTTTGCATAGATGCAGCTATATGTACTGGATCAACGACCTTCGGTGAGAGAGAAGGAAGAAACTGCGCACCCTTCAGTCGTGTGAGTCATTGGATCGAACAGAACAAGTCCATCGTTACCGCGAACGAAAGCAGGTGTGCCTTGGAGGTCAGCCATCACGAGAGACCCACCGGTTTCGCCGAAGACATAGTGCGCGAAACTATGGATCGTCTCCGTCTGAAGATCAGAGCCACGGGGCTTGTGGTCGAGAGTTGAGGTGAAATGAATGACCGCTGAAGCGCGCTTGGCTTCGATAAGCCATGTCATCCCAGTATCGTCCACATCGAAGACGATGAGACCGGACGCGACGCTGGGAGAACGCGTGACTTGGACCGGCATCTCGGTGGCGAGATAAGCTTGAGCAAATTGAATATCTGCTTGAACAGTTAGTTACTCATTAAGAAGCGGAAGAAAAATGATTAACACGTACGCTGGAAAACAGGGACGTTCATATCTTTGGCGTATGCCAAAAAATCTCCAAAGAACTTGTTACCAATAGAAAGACGGACACATTCCGACTCGAGCAACGCTCGATTCTGCGCGAGAGTAATGACCTCGGCCAGGGAGCTCTGATCATCCGAGACAGAGTGGATGCGTTTGGCAACAGCCCGTTCGTCTCTACCCTCGCGCTGAATGACCATCTAGGATTTGATGTCAGAATTGGAATAAGAAGTAGAATGAATCTGCACGTACATCGTATGCAAGTTTTGAAGCACCTTTGGCAAAGTGCTCGTCGGAAATCAATGCCTCAATGGTACCAGGACGCTTGAATAGCTCAGGAGCGAGTGTGGTGGGGTCCATCGACACATCGAATTTCTCTAGAGAAACGACGGATTGAGTCTTTGCTGCAAGTGGGCTGGGTATGCGGCGCTGCCGGAAGGACCAAAACGCGAGCCGAGAAGCGAACCAAGATCTGTAAAACTGTTCAGTAAGCAGCAGGCAGCATTGCTTGATCACGCACTGGGTGCACCGGGATTCAAGCTGCGAACACGCTTGTTTCCGAGCCCAATGATGCCGGAGGGTTCAGTGCTCGATGCAGTGCGCTTACGCACTGTTCCTGTTGTCCCTTCTCTGAGCGCTGCCTCCATGGCCTCGCGTTCCCGATACTGTAAGAATATTTCAGTGTAATGGTATTAGCGGAGAGAAAGACTAACCAAGTCCATATTCACCACAAACTCAAGGCAAAGAAGCTTCGAGTTATGGCTGCGCGCGATTTGACGGAAGATGATAGGAATATTGTTGATATACGCCGTGAGCTTATCGTGCAAGCGGAAGAAGTCGGCAAGCGTTCCTGTAAGCGAGTTTGGCTCTGGAATACGATTCCCCGTCCATCTAATGTAAACCTCGTTCCTTATTTGTTGTGAGTACATGACTTCACAGTATTGAATGATCAACGTACAGCTGCAACGGCGAAGTCCCCAGCTTGTGTAACAGGAATTGAGGCGAGATGATTTCGATAAGAGTGGCGATGACATCTATGAAAGCGAAAATCAGCAATAAAATCATTCAAGATGGAAGTGTATGCACCAGGCATCGGTGTAGAAACAGCAAACATGTGGATGACATTGCCGATTTGGGTATTTGCGGACTTTGCGCTACTGCATCGTGTCTATATTCATTGATGAGTAAGGTTTTCAAAGCTGAAAGACATCACTTACAACAACAGCCAGCCGAATCTTCTCCTCAGTGGCACTGCCGCTGCCGCTGCCGCTTTCGTGATAGATCAATGCCGCAGTGTGCAACGCAGTGCCTGGTTTGACACCAGGGAGGCGCTTGAGACGGTCGTTCATCTTGTCGGCGCGTTCCTTGTACGAGTCGGGGACTGCCGAGCCTAGAAGATGGTGAGTGACAAGGTGAGTGACAACAGACAGAAAGGAACTTTGCGTACCAGGAGCAGCACTGGCAGTCACAGTCGTCCGAGTACTTGCGAGCTTCTTCGACACAAGCCTTGGTATTGCATGTCTGCTTTTCGTGGATAACGGGCATGTTGTTGCGGCGGCTAACACCACAGAAAAGGCACTGGGGCTCTTCCTGCAATATGCGTGAGATGGTGAAGGTCGAAATTGAGAAAGGTTTCCATACCTCGATACGCTGATAGTCGGGAGAATCGCATTTGTAATGCGACAGTTTTTCACACTTGTGGCAGATAGTGCCTTCCATAAACTAGCTGAGCATAACTTAAGTTTTCCATGGCCTAGTCAAACTATTTCTTAAGCCTAGCTCAATCTTAAGATATTGGAAATATTACTAGGACCTCTCACTGGTTAAGTAGATCTATATGTATGATTATATAACATGATCTTAAAATCTAATACTTAAGTATAGCCTTTAGTACACAGCTTAAGCTTTTGGAACTTAAGTTTTCAATCAAATAGCCCACTATAAATCTGAAGGTTTGTATGTAACTTAAAAGACTCTTAAGACCTGAGCCTTAAGTATATAAACTTGATGCCCCAAAAGATCACCAAATCTTCAACTTAAGTTTTCTTCTGTAGATATAAACCTTCAGCATGATTATCACTTATTGAGTTTAGCTTCAGTTGGCCTTAAATTGTATCATCAGATAATTTCCATGAATATCAGGGTTAGCTTCATTTGGCTCCATATCTTTACCTTAAAGGTACTATTGTAGCATTTCAATTTGACTCAACTCAAATAAGGACCATTTTACATGTGCCATTATATACAAAAATTTGTAAATCATAGTTGGCTCTATCAAATTAGCTTCAGCTATGCTCCTAGACTGCCAACTTAGCTTCAATTCACTATATAGGTTTACTATAATCCACTAGATGTTCAAGCTCATGTATGGAGTGTCATGGGGCTTGTGTTTAGCTTCCATTACATCCTATATAACATATTTCAATATGTTGACTTCTTCAAGTTTATTTAGCTTCATTTAGCTTCATTCATTTAGCTTCATTTAGCTTCATTTAGCTTTAGTTAGCTTCATTTAGCTTCAGTTCCCTAGTTTAGCTTCAGTTCCCTAGTTAGATGATTGATTTCCAGCACTCTGTATTGCAATAAATCTTAAGGTTTGTTTGTACATAAGACTTGTAACTCAATTCTACAAGGCTAATATCTTAAGATCTTACCCTTCAGCTTCAATAAATTAAGACATGAACTTAAGTTATGTTTTATAAAGAAATTACATAATCTTTCATACTCGTGACCCATACCAGGTATTTTATTTCAACTTAAGGTATAAGTAAACTTAAGATAAAGGGTGACTAGGCCAAAAGTATCTTAAGATTACCTAAGCTAATACCTGTGCCTTCGGTACGCAGCGGGAACATTGTTCCACAGTCGTTGCATTCGAAAGTGAGAGGCTGCGACATTTTCGGTTGGTTGGGATTGAAGCCATTGCATTTTCCTAAGTTTTTAAGGCCCGCAATTGCCAATTTTTGCTTGCTAGACAGAGACAAAGTAAGGACTTGAGCATAATCTTGCAGTTGCTAAGCGCATTGTTTGCGTCGGGGCTGTAGTGCCAAAGACCTAAGCGCATTGTTGAGTGGGAAAGCTGACTGAGCGTCAGGCCCACAGCAATCGACAATCCGGCGCTAGTAGATGATGTCAGACAAAAGAACAATATTATTCCAGGCCTTGCGGCCCACGACGACATGAACGGCTGGGTGAAGGACAATGGAAAGAGCTTGCTTAGCATCCCTAGCGTATCTGAAAGTGAAGGAAAATGACAAATAATTGAACCGCTACTTCCGAGAACGTACCATTAAAAAGGTCCTTAATCCAGAGGAACAAGGCAGCACTCCACAGCTTGTCCAATCCCATTCCATCCTCCATGCCCAACTTCGACGGTGTTAATGGCTATGGCGAAAAAAATCGTGAGTTGCTCACTATCTTCCAGTGTTGGTCTTCCACTTACCTCTGACAGTCCCACCCGACGATGAGCTTCGAACAGCTTTGCTGAAGTATACACGGCAGAATATGACCCGCCAGCAACAGATTGCAGCCTTGGGAAAGGATTTTGGGGTCCAGATTGGGTGTGTATTCGATTCTCGTTCGTTATTGGGCGTGTTTCTGGATCCACACGCAGGTTGACTCTCCTCCGAAAAATCAAGCTCCGTCTTGATATTCCAACGTGAGTGACTCTAATCACGATAGCCTGCATTGCTCACTCACTGTTCACAGCGTTCGTACGCAGAAATTGTCCGTCGAGGCGGTGACGCAAGCGGTAATCAACAAAGTCGGGAAAGACCCCGCAAGTTCTCACGGCCCGGCGTTTATCAAGGACCAACTCCGTCTCAAGATGATCTTCGTTCCTCGGCAAGTCTCCGTCCTTCCAGCTAGCCTATCCATCACTAATATGCTGACTCTAGAGACCTTATCCGACAAATTATGGTCCAACGCTACCCTGATGGCTTCGACGTTCGCTTTCCTGGGAAGAGAGGGCGCCGCGTCATTCGTGTCCTTCTTCGGGCAAGTGGGCCGTACTTCGAGGTCAGCAGTGACGGGCATGAGAAACTTGCTCCGCAGGCACTTCGAATGGGTGGCGTCGGCTTTTCCATCTACGCCTACAAGGACAAATATACCGACTCTGTCCTCTGGATCAAGGTCTTCCCCGATGTGCGCAGTGCTGGAGCGGGTGGCCATATTTTCCTTGATTTTGTTGAAGATACTGGCTGTGGGTTAACTGGTTATACCTGCTGTGCTTGAACTGATGCTCAACTTACAGTTATTCCGATACAACTCACGACTGACAAAGGGTCTGAAGTTGGTTGGATGTATGCTTTCATGTCAGCGCTCAGGTACTAGTACTTGTTCCACTCTCAGACATCATTTTGAATGTGTTTAGAGCTTCTTACGCACCGGACATCAATTCAAACCTTTACCCCTTCCATGTTCTCATCAAAAGTGTCCACAACACAGTCATCGAAGGCTTCTGGCGTCACCTGAAGGAGAAACTTGGTCTAAATCTGAAGGATTACCTTCTCCGAGGCAAGACTGAGCACCTCTACAACCCCCACAACCGTTTCCACGAGTATTTTAATCCTTCAAGTCAATTTGGCATTTTTCTGACCCATTCTAGGCCACTATTCTACTGGATTTTTGCGCCGCTGATACAGCATGAGCTCGATGACTTCGCCGACTGGTGGAACAACCATCGCGTTCGACATCAACACGAGAAGATACTGCCATCGGGACATGTGCCGTCGCATGCCATGGAGTACCCCGAGCTGTTTGGCGCGCTCGACTGTCGGATTCGAGTCCCACACGAAGCTGTCGAGGACTTGAGGATGGAGCTTAACTTGGCGGAGGGGCCCAAGTCCCAATTTCAGGCATGGCCGAGTTTGACGGCGGAGTTTGATGTGAGGGCAAGCCATATCTACTTCCGTCTGGGGGAGCCCGAGCTTACAATGGCAAATGGCTGGGATATCTTTACACAAATGGCTACAGAGCTGGAACGTGAATAGATTGGATTACAATATTATCTAGCCGATGCCATCCATCACCGCCATCTCACATCTGTCAACCTGAAATTGAACCGCGACCGTCTCGCTAACCGTACTGGGTGTGCAGGTCAAAAGAAGGTTACCGTGGCCCACACCATTGAGCACAATTTGTCTGTGAGATGCAAATAGTAGTATAAGACTGTGGCCAATAGACCTGGGATAGTGTTGGCATAGATGAGGCTTGGACAACATAATCTGACTCACAATCACGGTTGAAGTCAATCATTCTTGTTGACTGTCACACCATGGTCACGCCACGTCAAGGCCTCTTTCCACACACCATCGAGCTCGAGCGTACAATATGTAAGTAGACTCTACAGCTTATTTGTCAAGACTGAAGGAATATAGAGTTATATTTGTTGCAGTAGATTACTTCAATAGAAAATTGCCCTCTGGAAACCTTTATGTCTCGAAATCACTGTGCTCCTCTAACGCGCTATCCTCGTCATCTTGCTCTTCCTCTTCTGAATTGTAGTCTTCGTTAATGGTAGGGTGTGCATCATCCTCATTACCAACAGGTGGGCTTGCATTGTGGGAAGAGCCTTGCACAAAGGCAGCCTGGTTCTGCTGACTTTGCTGAGGACAGGCAACGGACATCTCTTTCCATCTGGTAACGCTTGCTTTCTTCTTTCTTGACATGAGACCCGGACTGGCTCCGTTGAGCAGCATTGTACTTAAGGTAGTCAAATTGTATTGGAACACTGATACTTCCATTCTTGTAGGCTTTCTGGCACCGATTTTTCAAGTATTGGTGGACCAGTTTCTTTACAGCCTAATCTCCCGGGCACCGAGCAAGACGAGGGAACTTTTCGCGGGCCTAGGAACAACAAGTAAGTGTAAACAGATGTGCGATGACAGCCGGCTGACCGCTTTGCAGATCAAATTAATTGACTGCGTATCCTGCTCATTCCACTGTTTCTCAACAGGCAGATCTGCTTGGTGTACCAGTTCATGAAGTGTTCGCTATTCAACGTCAGACTTGTTTCCTTCCATAGTTAGATACTTACAACAATCAGATGGTAGTGCTTGTTGGCCTTCTGGCTTCCAGCAAGTTGGAGGCTCATGTGCACGCTCTGGCCACGTTGTTCCCAAAGTGAAGAGGCAGGAGCTATGAATAGTGAGCCGGGCATTGACTATGAAATCCGAAGACTTACCAGTATCTGTTGCAGTCTTTGTGTTTCTGTCTCTTGCTGCAGACAGAGGCTAATGGTCAGTGTTAGTATTAGAATGGCCATGAGTGGTGGGTGTAGTTGCAATAGATGGCAAGGAAGGGCGTGCGACTGGTGGACGTGTATGACACATCTGTCAGGGGAACCCCCGCTTCGGCCTCCTATGGACCCTCCGAACGCATCCGAGGCGCATCCGACCGGTGCCCCCTTGGACGCTCCGACCCACCCCGACCATCGTCCCACGGCCTCCTTCGCCCGCACAATCACCGATCCGTCAAGACCCTCCCAACGATCACCTTGGGACAGAGCCTGCGACACCGCTCAGGCCTTCTGCGCTCTATGTCGGCAGTCACGGACGACCAGTATATAGTTGGCGCCCTAGCAGGCGGACCCTTAGAGTTTCTTCTCTTTGGATCCTCCCCTGCTAGGTCGGTCCCTCCGTGTATTTCCCGTAGCTTTTATTCACGCTTTGGATCCTCCCCTGCTAGGCTTTCGTCGGAGTCTCCAGGGTTGCCCTTACAGCAGAAGAAACTCTCTACGAGATTAACCGGTCAAGATTGCCAGGTTTGGCGCTGATTCAGGCTCGGAGTACAAGTCCGTACCCCCCTCGTCACCGCCCCTGCCACTTGACCCCTCCTCCTCTGCTCTTGTCGTCTTTACGCCCGCTATGTCTACCGGAGCTGCTCCGGACGCTGACGCGCGCATGGACGCACTTGAGGCGAAACTAGACAACCTCACCAATATCCTCACCCACCTTGCTTCCCAGGCTTCCGCTTCCGCTGCCGCACCACCTTCGGCAGCTCCCGAACCGCCTTCGGCATCTCCGAATGCCCCCGACGCGGATGCGTTATTTGGTGACATTACTGTCGCCTCAAAACTGGTCTTACGGCCAAACCCCCCGTTTGCGTTTAACAGAGATCGCAAACGTGGCCGCGCCTTCCTATACGCGGTCAAGACTTACGCCCGGCTTGCCCCGGAGGCCTTCGTGGTCAACGGAGAGCCGAGCGAAGAAAAGGCCGTCCGCTACGCCATGTCATATATGGCGGAGGGACCTGCCCAGCAGTGGGCAGAGCGTCATGGAAGTAAAACCCCGTTCCCCTTCCCTTGGTGGAACCTATTCCTCTCCGAGTTTCGCCTTCGGTTCGTTGAGGAGAACGAGCAAGACCTTGCGCTCGCCAAGTTGGAAAGCGTGGGTTATCACATGGGAACGCGGGACGTCTACGGATACACCGACGACTTCCGAGGACCTAATGGACCTCGCCGGATTCGAAGACGCGTTGGTTAAGGTGACCAAGTACCGCCATGGACTTGACCCCCTGATCAACAATGGCATCACGTCCTCGAACGACCCCCCAGACCTCCGTGACTATCTGGGCTGGCGCACTCGGGCTTTCCGCCAATACGAAGCCTTGGTACGGGCGAAGCTCATCAAAGGGACCACCCTGCGGACGCCCTTGGGGGCTCCGCGTGGCGCATTCCCTATCGCCCGTTCGGCAACTCCATTCCCCATCCGCTCGGTGGCCGCACCTGCGCCACCCGCGGCCCGCGCCCCCGTCTCGGTACCTCCGGCTCCCGTCCCTATGGAGTTGGATCATACTAGGGCTCGGGGCGCCCCTCGTCGAGCCTGCTTCAGATGTGGCGACCCCAACCACTTGGCTCGGAATTGTCCGCTCCCCGCCGATGTTCGCCATGTGGACATCCTTGACGAGGTAATCCAGCAACTTGGCGATGAGATGCTGGGAGAGCTGCTTGCGTGGCTGTCCGATACCGCGGCCTTAGCGGAGGCGCATTCGGAGGCTCCGGCAGAGGATTTTGTCCCCCCGCGACGAGTGACTGGTGTGCCCTCGTTCGCGTCCATAAATCGTTTCACTTGTTTGTATGATGAATCAACTCCCTTGCCCTACAACGAGCCTGAAACGAAAGACGCACCCCCTGCCCCCTCCGAAGCCCCCGTTCGGATTCGCCGACTTGCCTGGGAGAAAAAGTTACCTGGCAGCTATACCATCTCTGCCGCTCCTGGGGTTAACTCGCTCCACCTTCCTCTCGAACTTGAGTCCACTGCAAACGCGCTCAAGCTCTCCCTCTCAGGTCTGGTCGACTGCGGAGCCACTTCGGACTTTATCGACACAGAATACGTCAACCGAAACAACGTGCCAGTCCGAAATCTCTCAGTACCCATACCGGTCTACAATGTCGACGGTACTCCCAATGATGCTGGGTCTATTCGCCAAATCGCGGACCTCGTTCTACGGTACAACGGACACTCCGAACGCGTTCAGCTGGCTGTAACCCACCTTGGGAAACAGGACTTGATACTCGGATACTCCTGGCTCAAGAAACACAACCCCGAGATCAACTGGGAAACGAAAGAGGTGAAAATGAGTCGATGCCCCCAAAGCTGCTCCACTTGCCGCGATGAGGAACGGACCGAGCGCGCTGAGGTTCGGCGCCTCCGACTCCTCAAATCGTGTTTGCTCTCGGGCGCCTTCCCCACCGTTTGCGCTATCGATATTGCCGGTCCAGACGATGCTGACGATGAACTCGGAGCTACTTCGGACCCTCCGAGTCCCCCGCCAGACCTCGACGACGACGAGCATCTTGAAGACGGCGACCGCATCTTCTACACCTCCTTTCGCCCAATCGAGGAGATTCGCGCTGCGAGCACCGTGTCCCAACGCCTTGCAGAGGCCTTCGCCCGTAACTCGGCCCCCCCGCCTTCGGAAATTCCGGACTGGGCTAAGGAGTTCCAAGACGTCTTCGACAAGGAGTCCTTCGACACGTTACCAGAGCGGAGGGCTTGGGACCACGCTATCGAACTCGTTCCCGACGCGAAGCCCGCTAATTGCAAGGTGTATCCGATCTCCCCCCTTGAACAGCGCGAACTTGACGAGTTCATCGAGGAGGGACTTGCTACCGGCCGTATCCGCCCTTCGAAATCTGATCCTCCCCTGCTAGGTCGGTCCCTCCGTGTATTTCCCGTAGCTTTTATTCACGCTTTGGATCCTCCCCTGCTAGGCTTTCGTCGGAGTCTCCAGGGTTGCCCTTACAACATCGTCTGAGCAGCTGGGTGAAGAGTAAGGTTTATCTACATGCTCGTAGAAGCAATTACTGACCTTGTTCACCGGAATGAACATTTGACTTATGCGCAGCTGCATGTCCTGCTGCAATCTCAGCACGGAGATGAGTAACCTCTTCTGGGTGGTGCGTCAAGTGCATATCTGAATGACTTTAAACTCAAACTGACCTAGGATGGTTTCTCCGTGATCGTTCACCATGTTCATGATAGGTATGTTTGCAATAGGTGCATTCACAATAGGCGCATTGACAATAGGCGCGTTCACAATAGGCACATTCGTGATTAGTGTGCTGGTGGTAAAGACAGTCGCAGCTTGCTTCGGCTTGGGTTTAGGTTTGTGCTTCACATTCTTTTTCGATGGGTTTGGTGTATTGTTGACCGTGGTTTGCCCAGTTTGGACCTGTTTGATGGCTTCGCTGCCAACCTTGCCCGTTGCACTGGGAATCGGAACCCGGAGGATCAACCCCAAGTTGGTCTTGATGGTATTGGTGGTTTGTGTCAGCGCGTTAGCGGCGACCTTCGAGGATGGCATGGCGGATTGAAGTCAAGAGAAGGATGTAAGTGTTTTGTCTTTTATATGATTGTGTGCTTGCATGTGATCTCACAAATTTCAGTGATGTGTCGCAATCGCAGCCCCTCTCCTATCTCTGTTCAAGACAACGATAGTCATGCCTCCCGCAAGAAGCAAGTGCACCACTGAGCTTGTTCTTTGTATCTGCTGGCGTTGTATTCAATGTGGGAAGACCAATGGCGCTCGTATTACTCGCCACCATTATAATCAGCACCGTCACAGCGACCACTGTGGAAGTACTGGCTTGTGCAGTGTTCGCCAGAAGAACGGTCGATATGTCCGGGATTGGGGGAGCACGAATGGAAAGATTTCAGAGGGAAATGAGTGGAAGAATTCGTGTAAGAGTGAAAGCAAAAGTGAATGTAAAATCGCAGAAACTCGTTCCAGTCGTGAAGCTCGGCTCGGGGCTCGGGGACTCGAAAGGCGCAAGAATCTGGTGGTCGGGGGCTTGGTATTCACTAGCAACTTGCCCTCGGTGGAGCAATCTCGGCACTGGTTGCAAACTCGGTGGTGGTTGGGGTGTGAGGAGTTCTATTAAATGATGATGTAGACTACAAACAAATAGCCACATCAAATATTGATGATGGGCGTCCTAAAGCAGAAACTACCTCATATGGAAAATCTATGAAAGGGACATTTCACACTTCCACAGTGGGAGGAACTTGAATCTCGACCTCGAGATTGCCGGAATGGAAGTGGGAATGGATCGGAAACCAATGACGAAAGTACTCAGCCAAAGGGACACACGGTTGGTTGCGAAAGATGAGCGTGGATGAAACACGGCGGGAGTGTGTGACTTGCCATCATTTTGTCAGAAAGCGCCGCCAGAGTGTCGGGATCAAGCTTACTCAAGGTGGTGATCATCTCTGTGAAGTGGGCTCGAAGGGCGTTGTCGAACAGCAATCTTTGAATTAACTGCATCGATTTAGCTTGTTGACACTTGACGCACGGCATTAGCATGCGCGGCTGGTTGGTTCGATGCGTGTGACGTCGGCGAGGGGCGTGGGAAATCAGCGGCGCGATCTCGGGATGGGAGGAACTCGGATTGAGCGGACCGGTGTGCTCAGCAGCGCGAATCGGGCGGAACTGGGGAAGAAGTCGGCTCGGATGGTGTGGGAAGGTGGGCATTCTAAAGGGGAAACTGCCTCATATGGGAAAGCTACGTAAGGGACATTCCACACTTCCACACCACCTCATTGGTCATCCTTCGACACTTTATTCGACTACTGTCAACAAGTACTTTGAAGACTTTGAGGAGGAGTCAGATGCTGAGGGGAGTGGTTACAAGGCTACACTGCCAGTTGACACAACATCTCTTGCTGCGTTGCACGATACTGGCTCCAGTGACGAAGACAATCTGGCTCCTCATAATCAGGAGGACAATTCAGACGAGATGGAGGAGTTGTCACAAAACTTCGGACATGTCTTACATGTCGAAGAGTTGGTCCAGCGACCTGTGGTTGTGCATACAATCCTTTGGGAGGTTCCAGAGGATGAAGAAGAGGCAGATATCACTGTTCCACTACGGTCAACAAGCCCAAATATGGCAGACGATGAAGATATTGATGCCGACCAGGCAGTCTATGATTGGGAGTGGTATGATTGTATTGCGCGAAGCCGACAGCTCACTGCTGCTCACAAACTGGCTGGTGCAAGAGGTATGCATACCTGAAACCCCCAACATCAGGTCGGAAAAGTGAATTAGCTACTGCTGGACACCCCCCTCCCTGTGTGACGTCACACCACGTGATTGCACGTGATGTCCCAAAAAGGCAATTCCTTGATGGGCTCCAGAAACTCATGAAAATGTCATGCAGTACTACTAATTTCCTCTATATATAGTGTCCCTTCTTGTGCCCTCCACCCACATTGACCCTGCAGACATCATTATAAACCCAATTTTAGCTGCGGGCATAGCTGGCAGGTGTGACGTGGCCATGTCATCACCACCTAAATAGGAAATTCCTATCAAAATGCTTATACATGCCTCAGAAGAACCTCAAAATCTGCTTTCAATGACAATTATATGCATTCTGAGACCATTAATAGCATTCCTAGCCACTCTGTACCCTATAAAAGAAAAGTGAATTAAGGCCACCAGACCACCCCCTCCCCTCCCCCCTGACGTCTCGGCTTGCGCTGGCGCATACCCCTTGGGCTGGTGGCTTGTTCTCATGTGTCATTCGTGAGGGTGGGCAGTCTTTTCTCGTTACTGCTATCTGCTGACTGATACGGGTTTTAGGTCAAACACTACAATCGTATGACCTCAATATCTGTCATGCATATAGGTGGAAGCTCAAGAGCCATCTTACTGATGCCGAATTCAAGTCAATACCTATGGCCTTTCCAGTGCTTTTCAAGGGTCACAATGCGCTTCCCAGTTTGGATGAGCACTGGTCCCGTGTTGCTGAGCTCTCCGAAGTGACGCTCGAAACATATGACTGTTGCATCAACTCTTGTATCTGCTACGTAGGACCATATGCGGATGACACCGACTGCCTTTTTTGCAAGGAGCCTCGAGTCCGGAGTAATGGCAAACCCCGAAAGGTTTTCAATTACATTCCCCTTATTCCTCAGCTGCAGTCGCTCTTCCAGAATCAAGCTATGGCAGAGTTGCTCCAGTACTGTGCCCGTTTTCAGGCGGAGGACAAGACAATCAAAGATGTCTTTGACTCGAGCCTTTAACTTAACCTAGGCGGGCGTCCAGTTCCGAAGTATTTTGCCAATGACCGAGATATTGCTCTGGGCCTTTCAAGTGATGGTTTCACTCCGTTTAAATGACGTCGGCATACTGCGTGGCCACTTATCCTATTCAATTATAATCTTCCTCTGGAAATTCGATTTCATCTGGAGAATATCATCTCTCTTGGTGTTATTCCTGGTCCATCGAAGCCTAAAGACATGTGATCATTCCTTTATCCACTCGTTCGCGAGCTTGTGCGCCTTGAGGAGGGCCTTCTGACATATGATATTATCTCCAACAGCCAGTTTCTTCTTCGCGCCTTCCTTATCCTTGTTTTTGGTGATATACCGGCAGTCTCTATGCTTATGCACATTAAAGGCCATAACAGTTATTCACCCTGTCGCATGTGCAACATCCACGGTGTCCGTATTCCGAATTCTACTAACAACACACTCTATGTTCCTCTTGACCGTTCCAAACACCCTGACATCCATGATGATATGATCACCATATACGACCCACACAACCTTCCACTACGCATACAAGAGGAGTTTATGGCACAGGCTACAGCTGTTGATAATGCCCGTACCAAGACAGATGCGGAAAATCTGGCTCGCCAGTATCGCATTAAGGGAACAGCCATTCTATCCTGCCTCAACTCACTCAAATTTCCTGATTCCTTTCCATACAACTTCATGCATCTTAGGGCTTGGTTTGTAAAGATTTTGGGGGTTATCAAACGGTTTGATAAAAATAGCCTCTTAAACCCTGTTTATAAACCGGTTTTTAGGTTTTATAAACCAACTGAGCTGATATGACGGGAGAGATCAAAATTGCCTTTTTGGGAAATTTTGCAGCAAATTTTAGTGTTTTAATTTCATGATTTTAAGATTCATAGACAGTAGGGGTTGAAACAGCCAGGATATATCAACTATCACTTGTAAGTTGGCATAACATGGCTAAGTTATATATATATATCATATACAATTTATTTGAAGTTATCTTATCAGCAGATCTTGGATGCCCTGTTATGGATTCTTTATACCACTGAAAATTTATAATGATCTTGATAATAATTAAATCTATATGGTTAATATAGTATACACATCGGGGATTCGCGCAAAAACGGGGGCCCGAAGCAGGACTTATTTGTGGGAAAACCGGCGCCAAATGGGGTCAGCCAATTGGATTTAAATTAAGGCCACGGATTTCCGCCGCACGTGACTCGGAAATTACCTTATTTGGTAATTTCCAAGTCACGTGCACCATTGGTGTCAAGTAAGTCTGGTTTGCTAGCTTTTTTCCTTTTGATGTGCTTACTAATATAAAACCATAAAACAGGGGGTTTCCAGCCAGGCTGTTTATAAACATATAAAACAGGGGTGTTTATAAACCGGTTTACAAACACCCCTATATAAACCAAGCCCTAATGCATCTTATATGGGAGAATCTTATTCCCAATCTCATCCTATTGTGGACCAACAAGTTCAAGGGGCTTGATGAGGGCCTGGAGCACTATTCAATCGATAGTGCACTTTGGGCTGCTATGGGAAGGACACAGCCAAAGCAGGAGGGACAATTCCCAGCGTATTTGTGCCCAATCTTGCCAAAGGTGGTTTTCCCATATCCGCAGAGATGCACTCCATCTGGGTACAGTTTATTGGACCGACCCTTCTGCAACAGGCATTTACCCATGTGAAATATTATGATCATTTCATTCTTCTTGTTCAAATCCTCAATAAATGCCTGGCGTTCGAGATTGCCAATTGGGATGGACGAGATAGACTGGCTTAGGGAAAAAATTCCAGAATGGGTCCAAACTTATGAGAAGTACATTATTACCCTTTTTTACCTCTTTTTCTTATTTAAAAATCAGGTTTTATTACCAATATGACCCAGCTCGACTCTCTACCTACACCCTCACCATTCATGCTCTTCTCCCTATTCCTGACGCCATTCTGTCTGCTGGGCCGCAGTGGTGCTATTCGGCATATCCCATGGAGCGATATTGTGGGCGTCTCCAGCCCAGAATCCGGAGTCGGACATTTCCATGGGCCTCCTTAGATCGATATGTCTTGGAGCTCGCACAACTCTCACAGATTGGAAAGCATCAACCTATCTTGAGCAACCTATGAATCAACCAGGACTAGGTGTAGCATGGTTATAGGATGAAAATGAAAAACAACCTATGACAGCAGTCAACCTACAGTTGGATGACGGCCATGTCCAAATGCGGATGCAGCCAAGGTTACAGCTGACCTATGATTGGTTGGTAAGCAACCTGTGTGAACTTCACAATGAACCTTTCCATTTGAGCCTTAAGGCTGGCAGATAAATTTCGGATTTTTCTTTTGTGAAAGACAGGATTCAAATGTGCACTCATTGCTTCGACTACAGGCAAGGCATTACATTATGTACAGCAGAACATCTCGTTGTCACATCACATGGACGCTCTGCCAGTTGACACTGTATGTGTGGTCAGCGCAAGCCTGGTGCCAGCGAAGTTGGCAAGCGAGCTGCGACTCACCCGGCTGGCGCATTCTCACACCCGACCTTGTCCGTGCTGGTGAGGCGTGGGCCATTGGCGCAGTTGTCGTGCGCGCCGCCCGACGTAAAGAACTCGAGGCCCGTGAAGGAGTCCTCCCAGAAGATGCTGCGCGCGCTGCCGCCGGAGGAGAGCGCGATGCAGTCGCCGGGGCGCGAGCGGTAGCTGATGTCGATGATCTCGCCCTCGCAGTTCGCGCCGACGAACCACTGAATCGTCGCGGCGTCGGCGGCGGCAAAGAAGGCGATAAAGCGGCCGGCTGTGATTAAGCGCATGGAGTGCTAAGCAAGGGTAAGCTTGGGAAGCAGGAGCCAGTGGTAGGGGCGACGCACATCAGTCTTGGTTGAGGGTGGGGAGTTTAGAGACAGGGTTCAGGACGGTCAACGGCGTATTTATGGCCTTGGTAGGGTACCGAACGGATGCGTTGTCCGTCCATCCCGTCTACTCGGACCCGATGCGCCCATGGATGGAGCCTGGCCTAAGACGGAAAACATCACCGCGAGCGATCCTCGCCCCTGTCTCCTCTAATCCAGGAGGGGCTGCCGGCGCCCTCGTGTGCAAAACGACTTGACTGTAGCCTGGAAGATGCCGGACTAGTACTGTGTCCACAACACAACGGATGCTCGCGCCGGCCCCTTTGTGCAGGGGAATCAACAGCAGCTGCCGGTGCCCCCGTTGCGAAACGACCAGATTTGCCGGACCGGGTCCGCAACAAGCGCCCCCGTGCCGCCGAAAACAAAACAACACAGCAGGCTGGGCGAGGCGCTTGGAGTGTGCTTCCCGTCGCGATTGTCCGTATTGCCACGCATAGCCAGGGCCTCCCATTTCATATTCATATTTCTTAACCGCCGCGGCAAACGGCTCTGACGTCAAGGATAAACAGCGACTGCTGCTGGGATTAGACACAAGTAATAACAAGTCCAAAGCAGTAATTAAGTACCCTTTTAGTGATGTCGCACGATATGTGCACACAAAAACACAAATAAAAACAGATGAATGAATGAGGGGAGGCCGGCGGTGGGCAGCGCATGCGACGTTGATTGGTGTGCCAATGGCGCTGAAGAAGATGCCGACCCGTGCGCGGAGCTGTGGCTTCCGTCGGCGGAAGAGTTGCGTGGTGCAAAAACGGAGGGCACAGTGAGGACGATGCTGTCCAGGTCTACACAGGTGGGTCATCAGAACTGCGTTGAACGACGAAACGCACCGAAGAACGACTGGTTCACCCCCGCGCGATTCGTGAGCGTGATTTTATGCGTCCCGGCAGCGAGGTTGGACGCGAAGTACTTCAGAGTGGGCGCTTGTTGCTCGCAGGTCATCCCAAACGCACCACCGCAGCCAGAAATGCCGCTGAGCGTCTGTGCGGGCTGCGAGTCGAGCGTTACGGTGTACAGCCCGTGGTCGTTCTTCTTGTCGCCGAAGACATAGATCGCGGAGGCTGGGAAGCGTGAACGGAGGTGAAAAAAGGTCGGGCTACGGACACACCGCTGAATTCGAGCTCGAAACTGGCGTTATCGTCGTTCGTAAACGTCGTCCCGCCTCCGCCGAAGTTGGGCGACTTGTTGTTGCCCCAAGTGCCCGAGTACTTGATCCGCGGGTCGGTCTCTTCCAATGTCTGGTTCGTGACGGTCGCGCTAGGTTGTCTGTGAGCCCAAAACATGTGAGAGCTGAAGGATAACGCACCCAGCCGGCGCCACCTGCACCACGGTCCTCACAAAGTCCAGCAAGAACCTATTTCCACCCGCATCCGAGCCCTGCTTCCCCAGATTGCGCAGCGTAAGCGTATGGGGGGCATATGCGAGGCTGGCGGTGCTGTAGAGGATATATGGTGCCGACGCGTTACTCGTAGCGTACGCACTGTGGACTGTTGCCTGCCCGTCAAGCACCACCTCCACCGAGCCATACTCCGGGCCAGATGCGCCGACAATAGTGACCGCTGGGCCTGTCTGTGGTGCTTAATCACTTGGCAGAATAGAGGACATTCTGACGCACCGGTGAAGTTCATACTGACGCCGGCACCGACGACGTCCGTGGAGTGGAAAGTGCCCATAAGCCATGGACTGCCCGCCGCGGAAAACGCCTTGCTCGACGGGTCTGGCGTTGTCCACGAGCCCTGGTCGGCGTATGTGAGGATGCTGTCGAAGTCGTCCGCCGTCACGTTCACGTTCACCGCGCCGGCATCCATTGCTGGCGGGGCCAATCGCTGGGTAAAAAAAGGGAGGAGGAGAAGTGAGCTAAGCGTGATTGTGATAAGCGTGACGCCGCGCTGTCACGGGCGGTGATGGCGATGATGGCGCCACGCGTGTTCCGGTATCATTTCCAACTTGCTTATGGAGCATCAGATTGAACTCAACGGCTGGAGCACGGATCCAAGACAGCCAGCTTAATTGTACTGCATGCCAGTGGTCGCAGACATAGCTACTTATTGCTATAAGGATAATACACTTAAGTTACTTGGTGGTATTATGCATAGACGGTACTTAACTTGAATATAATAGACCCGAACAGGAGCCTGGACAACGGCGTGAAGACACCGCATTTGCACTATTTACGCATGTCATTCCCGGCTCCGCAGCCATTGAGCCCGGGCATAAAACTGCAGGCGTCGCCCCTTTCGAGCTCCATCTCAGTGCCATGCAACACATCGGCCTTCTCGGACTCGTACTCCTCGCCGCCTCCGCGGCCCGCGCCTCGCCGGCATCCTCACCATTCTTGCCCGCAGCACCACCGCGTCAGGTTCTGTGGTACGACGGCGCGGGCTGCACCGGCGAGGTGATATACACGACTAACGGCGCTGCCAACAACGATTGCGTCTATGCGTCACCAGATAAAAGAACTGCACGTAGCATGTCATGGACGGGGAACACCCATCGCATCGAGTTCTTCAAGTCCGGTGGTAGCCAGGACTTCTGTAGCCGCGCCGATACCGCAACCGGCGTTCCGGGAAAGAGCTTCCGGGAGGAAAACGGCTGCGCCACCGCGCCAGACGGGTGCGTGCAGCATTTCTCTCGCAATGCAGTGTGGCTGACCGGAATGCGCAGCTTCAACTGGGAGAGTTACGTCTTCTGGGGCCCCCAGAATTAGCAGGAGAACCCTACATCGCCCACCGAAATCCTCTCCAACTTGTCTAAACTTGATTGTCGATTGGTAGTAGTGGGACCTATGTTTTGTTCTATGTATCAGTGACAGAACCATTTCAAGTTTATTGATGTTTCCGTACGTTAGTTTTGCATCGTTAGCACTGGGGTAAATCATCTGTTTATGCCGCCCGGCTTAGCAGCACATAGTTCCGCGTCACCTCCCGAACGCTCTCCATCATATCCTGCGTTCCCTTGGTCGGTGCCCAACCGAGTGCCCTAGCGCGGCTCGCACGACACCGGGCATTTGACGCTATCAACGCAGCCTAACACCGTCAGCTAGCGCCTATCGAGTTTTTAAAAAAAGCGACCGCACCAGGACGGAAATGGGAAAGTATTGCTTCATTTCGGCTTCTGTAAACGCAGTGGCCGTAGTGGACTCTGCAGACGCAGCGCCGGCGGCAACCGAGCGTTTGCGAGATGACGTCCGCGACGTCTTGCATCGCGTAGGATCCATTTTCGGCGAAGTAGAAGCCAGAGGCGCCGCTTCTCGGAGGGGAGGCGGAGAAAATGAGCATGAAGAGGTCTGCGACTGGGAATATTGTCAATAAGCATATGCCGAACAGAGTGTCTACTTACGTTCATGAACTTCGACATGTCCCCATACATTCTTCCCTGCGCCTATGAACCCGCCGCGCTTCCTGGCAACTGCGGGCGGAACAATGTGCGTGAGCAACGTGTGGTGTGGGCGCTGGATGCCGCGCTCGACGAGGACGGTGCGTGCGATACCGTAGACCATCGGGGGGACGACAATATGGCTTTTGATGTAGCCATTGTCGTCTGACGCGAGAAGGGCGAGGTCAACGGGGCGGTGCAGCTGGGTGGGCGCAATAGTTGCCAGGCGCGCGATGTCCAGGTCGTCCCAAATAGGCGAGGCACTGTAGTCACCCATGGCCCCCATGTCGGCGATGATTCCGGCGCCAGACTGCAAAAAAGTCCGCGTAAGATGAAATGCAATGGAAAAACTGACACGCACCGTGTGGATGACCGTCGGCGCCTCACCCGTCCTCTCAAACCGCATCTTACAGCCGGCAAGGAGTGCCTCCGCTGCCCCGATATTGTCGCTCTCCGCCTAATGCCCGCTTCAGCACGTGTCACCATCGAGGAAGGGCTCACCATCGAGAACACCACGTCTGCCTCCGCTGCGAGCCGGCCCAGCAGCGGGGCATCGTTAGTATCGCCCACCACAGCGCTGACTCCCAGCTCCTCCAGCAGCTGCGCCTTCCCCGCATCGCGCACTAGGGCTGTGATATTCAAGTTGTCTGTGTTGTTGCGGGAAGACTTGACAGGTTGGAGGAGCCGCGCAAGGACTGTGCCGCCGATGTATCCTGCAGCGGTCAGAGGTCAGCGGTCAGCGGTTGTCAGCCTGGAGCGCACCAGTGGCACCGATGAAGAGAATCTGCTGCGTCGCCATCGATGTCTGGGCGGAAGGTCTGACAGTGTGAGAACTGGAAGCGGCTGGACGAATGCTTAAAAGAGAGTACCAAGCAAACAGTAGGGTAACCTTGCACTGCCGGGGGAGGGGTCGGTCCCTCTTAGTCTACAGATGATGATGGTTTGGGTGAGAAGACTTGCCACGTGTCAATCACCCGCGTGACAGCGTGACCACAGTCACATCGGTTTCTTTGGCCGAAATATTTCGGCCGGTCACAGGTCACAGCCCATTCTTTTGGTTCCAAAGCGTCCCGCTTTGGAAGAATCTCAAAAGTTTGGCGCCTTCGGTACGCTGAATTTCCTATTCATTCCTGGCATGAGTATTCTGTGTGAGCGACTACTGTAGCAATTTATTTAATTCGGCGTGCCAAAAGGGTGTGACACCGGCGCCGAAATTAAATTTTCGGCGCCTCCTGTCAATGTGTGTGACCGCCGAAAATTTTCGGCGTACTTAGCACCTGTGGATTCCACATATCCTCTCTAATGAGAATGACCATTACCCCCCACTGGTCATTCTAATTAGAGAGGATGGCTCTGAAACCCCTACGCTGTGATAAATACTCCAATAAAGCTACTATAAAGTGAATGAATCCCAGGCTGAAACCTCACAAGGTAACCTCGGGCTTAGACACTATGTAACATCACATCATCACAAAGGGATTAATTAGAGACTAGAATACAAGGTTATTATATAAGGAAGAATACTAGCTAATGAGACCATTGAGGAACTTAGGCTAGTTGAGGTCCCTAGCTTACAGAATTATATCGCGTGACAAATTTCCAAAAAGGGAAATTTTTGCCATTTGACAGCACAATCATCAGATAATGTCACAGATTGTCACAAAACCAAAGTTGTATATTTCATCCAAGCAACTTTCATTAAGTAACCTATAGCGCCAGTTAAATAGTCATGCCAGCACTAGCCAATCACTAACTGATCTACAACTGATGAGCCTCTATCTCCATAACAACTTGAGGTAAAGACATGATTCAAGTACTACCAGGAAGCTCTTGAGTGGTACCATTAATAAACCATGCTATTTGATTACTGACCCATTTCCTTCAATTAGGCCGGTCACGGTCACATGGGATTTTTTGGCCGAAATATTTCGGGCGGGGCACAGGTCACAGCCAAACCTTTTGGTCCCAAAGTGTCCCAATTAGGATGATTTTCAAATTTTCGGCGCCTGCGGCGCGCCGAATTTCCTCATTAGGCAATAGGTCACGCGAAAATTCGGCCTACGGCCGAATTGAACATTTTGACCAAACGGTCACGGGTCACAGGCCCGCTGAATTGATCGAAATAGGTCAGTAATATCATACCATATGATGACTGTATTTGGCTCTTAGTTATAACAAAGGGAATATCTGGTACTTAAACCAATGTGTGGTAGATGACTTATATGTTCAGATACTCCCCACCAGGGCTCTGATATTTCAGTTTCAAAACCTGAGTGAATATGATACTAGCAAGACAATGTATCCACACATCAGTAGTATTTAATCTCCATCAACCATGGAAGATAACTATGGATCTCAAGCTAGTCAGGGCAGATAAAGCTGGGAGAGTGCTCATTTGAAAGGTATCTCATTCTACCATGATCCCATCTATCTAGCCATCTTATCATAGTACCATTACATTGACCTATGGACTGCCAAGTATAATGAAATACTGAGGTATGGAGCATTTTGCTGATATTTTGGGACTGCATCCATGGAATCTCATGATTTAAGTTAATATAGTGACATATGATAGTCCACTACACCTCCACCCACCTTTGACCACACAGTCAGTGCTAGGGTCATTCAATTCTTAGAGACCTTAGGTGCTATATAGCCCAGGATAGAGATCTGCTATAGGGGCAAGGGCACCATCTTCTGGGAGGTGGACTATATCCCTACTGATAGGGATACTCAGATCCCCCAGATTCATAAAGGTCATGCCGTGGTGAACTTATTATTTTTGGGATAGATAACACTGATAATGGTACTGTGAGAGATCCACAATACCTATAAAGTTGATTGAAGTGCTGGACAGGTTAATTTGAAGGTCTATACCATTCTACATTCAAGTCTTAGATCATACTTGAAATTATTTTCTGACCAGTTGTAATAGCGAAGACACACTCTTTTGCTCTATAGGTACCTACCCTCTCTTCAGGTACCTTCAGTGGCACATGCTAGAACCACAACTGATTATAGTACAGGGTCCTAGTAGACATCCAAATATCCTCATACACCCACCTCAATGTCCAGTACTCAGTTTAGAGGCCCTACTATTCATGTAAACTAGTTCTGAACCCAACCTATCTTTGAATGTCGACCCCAATTCATCCTCCATAGGCATTCAGAGATCAATCAATGTATGTGGGAAGGTCTAAACTCCTCAGTGACTGAATTCTAGATATTTGGATCTATGATCAACTACCAGATGATAGCTGTATTGTCAATATGATGTGCAATATAATTCATGGGAATATTAGGCAATAACAGCAGATTACATGCATACAAGATAATTTGAGGGATATTATCTCATCAGAGGACCCCCCTGTATACTTCCTACCTACCTTAAATCCATAAGGGGTCCCTCACCACTGAGTGAGTTATTGGGAGATTGACCCTATAGAGTGCATGGCAGATATACAGATGTATGGGATGTCTAAAAATCAATGGGTTTCTTAGAGCTATGATAGACATTCATTAATGTATAACCCAACTTGGATCATGATTATCCATGCATTCTTGACCCAGCTATCAAGACATCATTGTGCTTGATTAAATTTGAAACAGAAAAAACTACAGAAAAGTGGTATACTAGGATAGTCTAAAGCTATGGGACTATGATCACTTCAGAACATATAAAGGCTAGGTAACTGCCTACCTCCTAGTAAGACAATCATCTGAATCCATCGAGAACTCATGGAGATATGACGAGATCAAGACATCTGATGGATATCTACTAGGTAGTGCAGCACACAGATAATATTATATTGATAGGGATATTTCCTGAGTAGTACTTCAATCAGCTCTGTAGCCTGTCCAGTTACTAAGATATCATCTTATCAGTTGTAATCAGCTAGTGATTGGCTAGTGCTGGCACAACCATTTAGCTACTACTGTATGTTACTCAATGAAAGTTGTTCATATAGACAAAATATACAACGTTGGTTGTGTGACGATGTGTGATATTTTCTGATGATTATAGTATCAGATGTCAGAAATTTCCTTTTTTGGACATCTGTCACACTATCACTATGTAACATTGTGACTCTGGCGCTGAAATAAGCACAAGTTACCTAAGGGTGTAATTATCTATAGCACAATACACTCATATCAGAGTTTGTGAGAAAACCCCTTTGCGACGTCACATACCAGTATCAAATTTCAAGCCCGAGTCTTAGACTATAGAACCCAAGTTACCTCAAAGCTTGGGATTTATGCACTTTATAGCAGCTTTATTGGAGTATTTATCACAGCGTAGGGGTTTCAGAGTCATCCTCTCTAATTAGAATGACCAGTGGGGGGTAATGGTCATTCTCATTAGAGAGGATATGTGGAATCCACAGGTGGTACTTAGCGGCCCGGAGGGCCGCCAAATTTTTTTTGATGGTCTGATGGTTGTTTGACATTCAGCATCTGGCTGTGGGCCCGCGACACGCCGAAATATTTCGGCGTCGGAGGGCTGGTGTGACGCGTGACCGCCGAATTGAATAAATTACTACAGTATTTCTATGCATAAAGAAGACACTCACAGACACAGGCACATCAATGACCCCGGAAACTGCATCTATCAACATTATTTGTAACTTAGTAAGGAGTGGTTTAAGTTGAAGTCGGGTCTTGTGGATGGAGTCAAGTACATTGAGAGCAGCTGCAGCAAGAAAAACTAGTTAATATGTTTTTGATATATATCTGAAACATATTTTATCGTATGCACTTACTCTTGATATAATAAAGTACAAATATGATATACCCTGATCCTCAAGATATACTTAATACTAACTAGACAGGCTGGGGCTACGCCCCAGCTTCAAATGGTGTTTCACAATTTTTTGCAGACTGAATGTGCCAATTTTATTCAAAGCCTTAGATTGGACTTGTTTATGGTACTTGATGTAAAATCTTGATTTTACAGCTTTGTGTCCCAATTAGACTTGACAGCTTTTCTTACCAAATTAGGGTTTCAACAGCAGTAGTCCCAAAAGTGGAAAGTAAATAAATTGCTAAAGCTGATGCTAAGCATGTGCACACATTCACACGACATCTGCTTAATATAAGAGTAATAAGTATGAGTATGATATGCAAAATTGTGTATCATATCTGTATTTGGACAGCACTATTAAGTAGGCTTTCACACCGGATTTGGTAAAATATAGAAACTGTGTTCTAGATTCTGTAGAATCAAGAGTACCAGAATTTAGAGCCAAATCAACATGTGGAGCAAGGGGGAAGGAAGAAAAAAATCAAGGAACATATGCACTGAAGTTATTTTAAGGGCTCACAGGCGGACCAACTGAGCATGACATTTGTGACATTTGTGACATTTGTGACATTTGCCTATTTTGGCAGGTGGTCCCTACAGTGTCATGCGTGCAACGTGCCGAGCAGGGGAAACAGGCCGGAAGGGCCATTAGGCCATGTCCAGGCAGTTGGGTGGGCCCCAGGGCAGAATTGGACTGGGCCGCAGCTGGCTAGGCACCCCCAAAACCACAAAGTAGGGCGTGTTTAGCCTCAAACACGTCCCGGGTAAAACACTGGCCCTTTAAACAAAGGGATGTAACATATAAGGAGGTCTAGACACATCATAAACGTGAAACAAGGGGCTGGGACGCGTTAGAAAAGAGCTGAAACAGCCTTAGAGGCAGGCAAATGACCGCGGAGATGCTGTGGGCTATGGCCAAAGATTAGATAAGGCGGGGGATACTCAGGTATAAATTCCCACTGTATGCTACAGTAGATTTCAGAATACAACACGCTCCT